AGAAAAGGGGTGTGTGGGGGGGGTTGGGTGCTTCTGCTTCTAACGGAATTTTGTTTTGTTTTGGCCACATCCCCTGTCTCTATTTTTAGATAGAAAAAGTGTTTCTCTTTTTTTCTCGTGGGTGTTTGGGGGGGCCCGTTTTTTCTTTTTTGTGAGGGAAGCGGGGAGAAGAAAAGGGGGTTTTGTGGGGGGGGGGGGGGGGGGGGGGAGGGCACTTAGGTATTTTTTGGGTGGGGATGTGCCGCCCGGGACTCCAAATTGGCACCCCGTTCTAAAAAATATTTCCCCTAAAATTGATACCCCGTTCTAGAATTCGCCCTAAAACTGATACCCCGTTCTAGGAATGGGCAGGATGGGCAAATTTTTTATACTCCGTTCTAGAAAGTTTGTAAATTGAAATAGCCCTGTTTTTTTAAAAAGATATTTCTTTATTTGTTCGACTTATGCATCAAATAAATGCTTTTTCATAATCAGCAACAATTTTAAGCAGAAGATAAAGCCGTGATCCACAATTTGTTATACCCCGTTCTAGAAAACGCCTCTGAAATGGATACCCCGTTCTAAATAACAACCCCGTTGGGCGGCACATACCCGTATAGGTAATGCATGAGAGTACACCACCCCCCCCCCAATTCAAATCAAGTTTTAAATTTGTAATTCAGGGACTTTCTTGGAGAAAAACTTTTACTTAATATGTTACATCTTAAGCCATGAGACCTCTTAGGTCAGGTTTAAGCCCTGTATTGGCTTTGATGTTTAACATATTCGTCTCATTTGCAACTCTTTGCCATTATTACACCCGACTACTCCCTTGAGTTTGGAATCAAAAAAATTCATCCCGTCTGTTTGTTGCCTATAAAAATCCACAGTTATCAAGGCTATTTAATGTATCAATCTTTTGATACACACTTGATATATGGGAGGGGAGGGTCGGGAACTCCCTTTCAGGTGTGATAACCATGTACCAGTAGGGGTAGATCTGTATTAATTATTTTGTGGGGGAAAAGTGCCCGTTGACGTTTTCCTAAACAACGAAAACACCAAGGGGTTCAAGGAAGTTTTTTTTTTTATCTTTAGTCTCTGAGTCACCTTTCCTGGCTTAACCTGGGACGGAGTTTGAGTCACTCAGATAGAAAACATTCACCGCGACCCAAAAGTATACCAGAGAATTTCAACTTTTCTTTTATCCAAAAAACATTCTCATTCTGAGAAATGAGACCAACTTCAAAAAAAATGAAGAGACCAGACAGTTAAGCAGTACTTTTAGACAAGGAAAAGAGAAATAATAATTAATTTATTAAGACCCTGTATAGAGTAAAAGGGATCATGACACTTGAACACGACCTGGAGGCACATCCCTATAAAGCCCATATATAGGAGTTAAACCCCCCGTATTTGGAAAGTGGGGGAGGGGGGTCTAAATAGCACATTACACTTTATTATTAAATACTAACAAAGTTATAAATATCTCCTGTAAAAATATGTTTTTTTACAACATAACTTGACCAGATTAACCAAACAACTGATCAAAATATCAACACCATGAGCTACAGGACATGGCTAATGATTATAAATTACCAATATAAACAGATTAGACAAATAACTCAATGTAGCTCTTTCTAAAAAGGGGTGGCAAATGAGAAAAGGAAATGTTTTATCTGTACCAAAGTTGTGATTTAATGTTGTTCCTTCTGTTCATGGTTTTGAATTTACACTGCAAAAGTCTTGGCCCAGCTGTTTTTTTTTTCTTTGGGGGGGGGGGGGGGTGGGGGGGGGAATTAAAACCCCATTAAAAAAAGGGGGTCATGGGAGAGGGAGTTTTTTTTATTAAAATTTAAAGGGGGGTTGTCCGAATTTCTTGTGTTCACCTCTTGTGGTAGTAATTCTAACATATTATTGATTAAAAGATGGGACTTATAAGAAATTAAAAGAAGTGGATATAAAAATAAAAAAAGAAGTTTTTTGTAAATATTAATTTGTGTTTTTTTTTTTATATTTTTTTTTTTTTGTTATGTTATTTGTTTTGAGGTGGGGGTTTGTTTTTTTGTTTTTTTGGTGGGGGGGGGGGGGGGGAGTGTGGGGGGAAGTATCAACCCACTGAAAAACAGGCTGCATAGGACAGGAGGTGTTTTTTATTATAATCTTAAGAGGGATTCCTTCAGATTTCCCTGACTAGCCATTCTAGGAAGGCATTGCAAAATTTTATGAGTTAAAGAAGTCAGTGATATTTAGTTTCAAAACTGACAAATTTATGCATGTGCAATAGCTAATATTAGGCATGGTAGGGTAGAAAATATTTTCAGGATATTTACTACAGTGGCTTATATCCAAGCCTGCAGTCTTCCGTAACTGGAACTCCACACCCATTTAATCAATGACTTGTCGATAAACACATGAACCTGTGACTGACATTCATATAAAGTATTGATTTCATCTTTGAGCCTTAACATCAGCAAACCAATTCCCACAGACCAGACCTCCCAACAAAAATTTAGCGGGGAGGGGGGGGGGGCAGAACCCTCCAACGTTTTGGTGCTAAAAAACACTTTTACCGGTGAATTGACAATACCTGTGATATCATCAACTTCAGAGCACACATTTTCTGCCCTCAGACGACTCAAGAACTACCTAAGAAGCACGGTGAAGCATGACCGCCTGAACAACTGCCTACTGATGCATTGTCACAAATTGATTACGGACATACTAGACACTGTGAAGATTGCTTGTGCCAATGAACAATGCAAAGGGAATTCTGGAATATTTGAGCAGGGGTAAGTCTGTGGCTAAGTTGAAGATGAGATCCCCCCTCCCCCACAGTTTTAAAATGCTCCACCTACTGGGTAAGTTCACACTAAACCACATGGAGTTTTGTGCCAGAAATAAATTACTTGATGTGGTATAACATGAAAAGCCTAATACAGCCTAACAGAGACTTTGAGGGGTGGCGAATGGTACCTCGTAAAACGTGGGTCTCAGAAAATTTTGTCAGGATCTCAAAGTCTCGGAAGCGTTAATGATAAGTCTCAAAGTCTTGTTTTTTCATGGTTTGTTTTTACTTTTTTGAGTCTCGAAACCTTTTACCAAAGAGTTTCGGGCTCGGATTTCTAACTAGGATCTCAGCGTCTCGGCGAGTCTCGGATTTTACCATTCGCCACCCCTACTTTGCGATGCAAAGGTGCTGATTTTTCTGCTGGAATTCATTAGTCCTAAATGTCAGCTGTCCCCACCCACTAACTCACACAGGGGGCCATGGGGGTCAGACAGACATTCTGAATTCTGAGTGTAGTAAATTCAGGCATCATTCCCCCCATACCCTCACCATTAGGGGGTAGAGACAGTTGGCATTTCAGACTAGTGGGAAGAATGTACAAGGATGTGCATGTAAATCTGGGATGATCTGAGGGCCATTCACATTACACCTAGTACATTGAAGTGACTGAAAACGTATACCAATTTCACAAGTGTCCCATTACAAGAAAGCTCTAGCAAAAACTAAAAAAATAAAGAAATTGGCGTAAAATGTGTGAACAAAACCAGTAGGGAGCACTTCCTTATTTGACCTAAATGGGACAGTGCCCTCCTAACGCCCATGAACAAAAGATCTATCCGATATTATTTTCAAAGGAAAGAATGAGAGCTACATGCATCTGGTGAGCTGACAATGGCTATTACGACTACCCTGAACAAAGGGCATTGTCAGAGTTAAACAGTAAAGCAGGTTATTAGAATTGTTTAAGAGGGGAAAACAAAAGGTACCTGACCAAATGTGCGGGGAGAGGAAGTTGAGGAATTTCTCGTGCTGGAACATGATTAATGATTACCAATCTACACATATGTTGTAGGTTTAAAATTAATGGCAACTGCCAAACTCTAACCCGACCATCCTTGTAGCCAGCAGCAAGCTGCTGGCAGGTGCGTGTGAAGGCCAGGCAGGACACCTCGGTGTTCTGGTACCATGTTCTTAAGCCATCTGGCTGAAGATGTGCATTAAGTACAAACAAAACATGCAAACTTTCTGAATTCAGTGCTAACACTTTGGAGTCAGATGTGCCGACTGCAAGCATTGTGCCGTCAGGCGAGAAAGCTGCAGATCGGATCTTCTGCCAGGGTGTCTGCAATGCATAAGCAAACTGAATACATGTAAGGCCAGGTTCGTCTGAATTTAGTGACCATGTCTGAATGGTGCCATCTTCTAGGCATGACGTAAGGTATTTGTGACCGTAACGGGGATCAAAGAGATACCAGCAGTGCATTTGCGAACTGAGTGATCTGCGACTTGCGTGACGAAATGGAATACACAAGCACGTGGACGAGTTTGTGGTGTCCAAGTCGAGGCTACTATGAATGTGAAAGTCTTGAGTGTCGAAAACAATCAGTTGACCGGACGAACACGACACGGCCAAGAACAAGCCATCGGGTGAAAAGACGCATGAGCGAGCGTGCCCGCGAATTTTCGAACTAGAATTCGTTGTCGATTTCATCTTCCTCACCATTTTTTTGGAAGCAATGTCAATAATGCAGATATGATTTAAATCACCGGTTAATTTAGATGCCACGACAAGAGAACGACCATCTGGTGAAAAGGAACAACACATTAAAACCCCTCTTCTCTTTCGCCAAAATCTTCGCATGTGAACAACTTCGGCGCTGGTTGTTTTCCACGATCGCATTCGCACTAAAGCGAGCGAATCTTCGTTAAAAATACACACGACCAACTGTCCATCAGGTGAAAAATCACAGGATTTCACGGAGTGAGGAAAGTCCGCCAAAAAGCCAGTGTTGATTTGTCGTCGATGAAGGTCCCACAATCTTATCGACGAAAATTCCCGATTTCTTTGTAAAAACGACGTTTGTTCTACTTTAGAGGCAGTTAAAAGAACACTGTCATCATCGCTGGGAAAGAAACATGAATAAATATCCTTGTCTTCGTGTTTGAGTTGAATTACAACGTCAAAAAGGTGGTCGTGGCGATTTTCAGTCGGCAAAGACCGATGTGATCTTCCAGACAATCGAGGGACAGCTGTCCGATTCGAGAGCGTACAATCTTCCGTATGCCGCAAACTGGATGTATTTGTTCCCATTTCAATGAGGAAAAAGTGAGATAAGTTACTGGTATTACTCTTGATTTTCTTTCATCCTCCGAAACTTGTCTTTTTTAAGAAGGTTGTTTTCGTCGAGAGCGAATTATCACTGACAACATCTTCTCGGCTTGTTTTGATACTCTCTGCCGAGTGACCTGGCCTTTGTTACCTTTCTGAGGCAATTTTAGCCTCACTCGGGTAGGGTCAGTAAAAAACAGAAAGCATCTGATGAAGTCTCCTTAATATTTTTCTAATATTATGTTCTAAAGGTTTCAAAACTAACATATGTTTTTTTTTCTTGTGACACGGAAACACATCGGCCGACTTCCAACTTCCCTGACTTTCTAACTTTCGTCTTCCGACTTCCAAAAAAAGATCGAGAAAAAGGACGGTTTGCATGTTAGTAGCGATTTCATCACTAACAATTTTATTTTACTTATTTATTAATATAAGGATCTAGAATGCATTGAAATAGTTGACGTTAATTTCATATACATAGAAAACATCCTTGAGATCGCAGCAGCATGGACCATATACTATAATAAGCAGTTTACCCTCTGCTCATCAGAGATAGGAGACACTTTTAGCGTACCGTTGTTCCTTCACCGTGGTACGGTGACCTGTACTCTAACCTGCACTTGGACCTGCGTTTTGTATCTGCAGCCGTACACACCATAAAGCGTTCAGTACCTCGCAAAAGTGCCTGGTGTGGTGTAAAGGCCGCGGGGGACACCTGTCTATGAATAAATTCATAAGGCCAAACTTTGCTTGTGCTACATGTTTTAAAACGCTTATATTTCGGCTGTTTTAGAGGCAATTTCGATAAAATTTTACAGAGACGTTGTGAAATGATGGAAGTTTAGGAGGGTTGATTTTTATTTAGCCTGCGAAAACATCCGTTTCTCCTCGCTCTTCGCCGCTGGGAAACGTCCCCAGCGGCGAAGAGCGAGGAGAAACGGATGTTTTCGCAGGCTAATTTTTATTTGGTAGATCGTGCTTTACATTGATGCTTTAAGCCACAGTTGTAGCAAATTGGGAAATCGTGATTTTGTGTCCCAGTTTGCGAGAAGAGTAGAAGTTAGCACTGTGATTTTATTAATAAATGTTCGGTCATAACCTCTAGTGTGTCATGTATATAGCAGATTTTACAATAAGTTATTTAAAGTTTGCCAGCAAGATATAATCGTTTAAATGAGCAAAATCTGTCATCCCTGAAATTAACGCTTTATATCTTTTTATAAAAGAGCTCTTTTAGAATTCCGCTCACAAAACACACTACAGTCTACCAAGTTTACCGCCCTGCAGTGCCAGCTCGTGAAGTTTTGTATCTGCGCTGGATTCTTGCAAACAAAATTGTCGGAAAAATCAAATTTTGAGACTCCCGAACGTGTCCCGAATAAAGCGTCAGTTCCAAGCAATTTTAAATAAATGCATAAACAATGAGACCAGGGTGTCCCCCGTGAATGACGTAGAAGTCGGCGCCGTTAAAGGGTGCAGATAATAAACATGACCGTTTTTACTTGGTGATACAGAAACTAACGCTTGTTAGGCACAAAACCTACATCAGTAGTGGCGAATAAAAGAGTTACTTCTGAGAGAACAATCCCACCCTCTTTCTAAAGCAACCTCAAACAAAGAGGGAAGACAAGTAGGCCATTTGCTGAGTTGAAAACAAACCATTCGGCCGATGACGACATTTTAATACTACGACCAGAATCCTTCAGGGTTTGGCTTTCGTGTGCAAATCAGCGCTTCGGTTATTTAAACCTCATTGGGATTACCGAATTTAAATATGAAAGAAAAAACGAAAAGGATTCTGGTCGTAGTAGTAGAATGACGCCATCGTGCAAATGGTCCGTTGAATCCTCGCTTTCAAAGTGAGGCCAAGAGCAAAATCTTCCTAGCAAGGAAAAAAAATATAAAAAAAAAACATCACATCAAAGACTTAGCACTGAGACTCGTTTTGGAAGGGGTTAGAGCAGACTTGGAAACTACCTTACCGTGGGCAAACATCGTTACATCATTGTTTGATATTTTTCAACCACCAACACATGGAGTTGCAGTGAAATAAGAATCAAAGACACTTTAGTTGTGCAACTTAAAGTTTTTTGCAAGAAATGCAGAATTACTGACTGACAAATGAGCTAATGATGAGTCATACATGCTTAGCAAAAAACTCGCATCCAACGTTTAGAGATTTTTCTGAGGTTTCAGTACTTAGGGTTCCTACTGTTTCGTGACGGTAAAGGTCGACGTAGCTAAGTTTACTAGATAATGAGTGGGTAAAACAGATTCGACGGCTCTCGTAAGTTTGAACACCATGAAAAATCTCTGACTACGCCTTTGATCAAGGACCCCGATTAAGGCTCCTGTTAGCTGTTGTAGTTTAGAAGGGCATTGTTTATAGTATTTTCAGTCTTTTGTATTATGTCATTTGGTGAACACCCACAAATTGCCATTGCAATCATGGTGAGTCAGTGGTGTGCGCATATCCCTGGGAACGAATGGCGTGCTGGTGACGTCATGAATTGGTGCGCACATGCCCCCAAAAAAAGAGAAGAAACGGCGCACCAATTTTTTTTCGACGGAACAAGTTCAAACATTTCTGCGTCTCAGAGAGTCTGTCACGTTGTACAGATCACATGTATCCTGTACAAGTCCGAATACTTCATACACCCAAAGTCATGGAAGTGCAAAATTTATAATTAATCATCGTCAGCTGCGGTTTCCTTTCCTTCGTTTCCCCTCGATTCTGTCGTCGGACAAGAATCGTTACTGCCCTCATCCGGGACTTCGCAACGATCTTTAACCGAATCATCGTCGTCTTCTTGCTCAGTCCCCTTCAGTTCATCATCTGGCTCGGTTTTGCTCTCGTCATCGTCATCTGCGGTGTGGTCTTGGTCAGCGGCTTTTTCTTTTTCTTGGCCGCGCTTAAGGGCCTGGATACGACGATCAATGGCGGTCCAAAGGCGTTGAATATCGTTCGGGGCGGCCTGGGGAATAAAAACGACAAAGTAAACCTCGCATTTCGCGCAGTAACAATCAAGGCGAGTTACCTGAGAAAACAGCTCATATTTGACGACGCCAACACTGGCTTCCCCGCTAAATCTCGAATTATAATTATGAGGAAAGGGCGCAGAAATTCAATACTGATCACGTGTCACCACCCAGATCTGGCTAGTGAGTAAATTTCCCTGTTGGCACGACCAATCAGAAGCACTTCCCAGACCTGGTAGTGAAACGCCCTCCGTATAGGATAACCAATTTCTACGCCTGTTCTTCAGAAGCCATTTCGCTGGAAAACCAGCGCTCGCGTTGCGAAAAGTCAGCTTAGATATGAGCTGTTCCTTCCATTGGTACTGGCAAAACCTGCAAAGCAGGCGTTATTTGTTCGCGTTTTTTCGTGCCAGCGAACGCGCCTCTCGCTCGCTTCGCGCTTGCCTTCGTTCGCCTGAAAAACGCCAACAAATAACGCCTGTTCTGGAGGCGAGTACTGATGATTAGTACGGGAGTAAGTTAAAAATGGCAATAACTAACTTCTAAAGTGCTAGCTTAAGCCCATCACTTTGAAATGAGGAATTAAGTCCAGACGGAGAGACAAAAAAAATCAGTAAAAACATGTAAAATAAAAATAAAAAACTTACCATTATAAGGTAAATTTTAATGTCTTTCTCGCTGTCCATGGCAGTGAACCGTAAGCTCTTTTCATTGCCTTTTTCTAAAGTCATATTGGGCCACAGTTTAGTGTTGAGTACCACACGCAAACTACCTTGTGTGCGCATCACTGTGAAAAGTTCAAAAGTCAATAGTCAGCGATGAAAAAGAGCGCACTCACCCCTCACCTACCCAAACCCAACTTTTTGCCTCAGGAGGGAAGTTAACCTTGGATTAGGCGCTTGGGGGCGGGGTGGGTGAGTAATCGTCCAAAATCTTTAGACTGCAACTAGTCCCTCATAGGTCTGTCGAGTCGAGATTTGGCAAGACTCGAGTTGAGAATGGAGCTGTGGAATCATCCGCCTTCTCTCTCGCGCGCGTTTTCCTCGTGGGCTCTCGCCCGCATGACAATGCTGGGGGATTTTTGGCAGTCTACAAAATTTTCTACTGATCAGGTCGGCGTCACTACATGACAGATAAACTGAAGGTGTCTTGAAGGCCTTAACAGGTATCGTCTTAGCCTGCGTTGCAGGCGCTTGGAAGTAGTGGGCACAACAAAAAACGGGCGCGCGAGAGGGAGACACGAGAGGGGAGAGGGAGCCCTCATCCCTCGCGTGTCTCCCTCGCGCGCCAGTTCTCTCTTTCGCCCACTACTTCCAAGCGCCTGCTACGCAGGCTAGTCTCGTCTAAACTAAGTAAGTAAAGCAAGTGACGTTTAACTTTTAGTTCTATGTTCTACCAATTTAAACTTTGGAGGGAGAGGAGCTACCTCCGTTAATCTTCTGTTCCACCTGTTAGTCTTACCAAGCCTCGACTGGAAGATCCCCTCTGTCATTGATTGGCACATGTCATTCAACCTGATGACTCCTCTTCCTTTTTCTCTCCATGAATGGGTCGTGGTATCAAACACGAACAAGCGACAATTGCTCTAAGAATGAGAAGAAAAAAAAAGTTTGCATATCAAAAAGAAACAGACGGAAACAGTAATAGCCTACGAACAATGACGTATTTCCGGGCGTTTTTTCTCTCTTTGACTGCTTCAACCCCGCCTTTTTTTCTTTTATTCCGTCTAGTTCTTATCTCAGCTGGCGCAATTGGAAATCACGACCTTATGTTAAAATAAGGGACAGGGACGAGACGAGATTTTTTCTTCTCGGGTCTACTCCCTCGTTTATCGCGGCTCGCGTGCTTGGGTTTCGCGTGCAGTAACTTTGCAAAGAAAAATAAGAGACTGCTCGCAGTCTACTTCTCTCTACACGAAAAGTAACTTTTAAGACCCTGAGTGTTGAATCTGGCCAGGAATCGAAAATGGAACTAGCACTCTGAAGTCAAGCACCCAACCGATTGAGTTAACCCATTATTGTGCTTTTCAAAACACGCGAACTCTAAAGTTCAAAAGCTGCCTTCACAATTGCGTTTTTCGCTGCTGTCAATCACAATTACGATCACAAGCAACGAACCTTGAAACACAGAAACACAAAACGGATCGTAATTCACCATCCGCATTGATAGTATCAGGAGAAAATTGATTTTGATAACTTAAGGCATTTTGGGGGTTGGCCAGGTGAAAGTACTCACCTGAAGAACATTTTTCTCTTCCTCTTCACCTGTGACCACGGCCACCTTTGCAGGTTGTGACTTGGGTGGACTCAGATGTTCTTGATACTCCATTGCTGCTTCAGCAAGCGACTTGTGCGGTTTCTCGTGATTTGGAGACCTGGGCCCTTCAGCGTCTGCGCAAGAATGCGCCACGTCTGCGAGAGTCTTTCGTTCTTCCTCTGGCAAAAAGCAAAATAATTGTTATGTTTGGTGGTGTTGTTGTTGTTTTTCCGCGATGAAATACTATAAAAATTATTGCAGTGTGGTCTAATAAATAGCAGCTTCTTGGAGTTGCTGGCAGGTGCAATCACCAAATGACGTAATACAAAACTTTGAAAAGACACTGAATATTATACAAAGGGTTAGGGTTCTTCAATCCGGTAATCCCGACCCAAAATTTCGCGCAATCCCGTAATCCCGCGGGTTATTTTTAGCATCCAACCTCGTGCGCATACAGTCAATCCCGAATCTTGCCCCCATTTTGCATCAAATTCCCGAATCCCGAGGTTAAATTAAGGAAAATCCCGGATCCCGAAAAACCTATCGGGGACCCTCTATACGCACACTACTAAACAATAGCTAACCATCAAACGGTCACCGTAACACCTAGAGACACCCAAATAAATGAATACTGTAAATAATAAACTACCTAAATTAATACATAACTAACTATATATAATGAAGTACCAGAGTAATGTCCTCATCCACTATAAGAATGCTCAATAGTTGAACTAGAGCAGAATACAAGTAAACTGATGGAACTGGATTAAATCTTGAACATTTATTGCTACTCAGAGTTTCATGCCTCTTGCGAAGCAATCATCAGGCAACTCTCTGAGTAGCAATAAATGTTCAAGATTTAATCCAGTGCCATCAGTCTACTGGTAACTAACAATAAAAATGTATCACTGAATACATGGATAAATAAATAATCACCAGATACTATGTTACAGTTTACCTCACGTCACGCATCAGTCAAACATCATGAGCTAGCTGGGGTACAGACAGCTTTAGCCTGCGAGCAAGCTCTCCGGGGCGCTTTGGCGGCGGGGCGGAAAAAGGAACGAGAGCTTGCAACTAAATCTCTGGAATTTGAGTATCTGCATCAAAAAGGTCGATGCGAAATACTGATTGGTTGAGATGACATTAGTAATGACGTCATTACCCTTGGCGTGTGCTTTCACGTGTTTTCCAATGCTTGTTTACATTCGCCCTCGTTTCCGCTTCGCGCTAATTGGCGGAAATCTGACAGCTCAGTTGACGGAGAGCCACAGGTGAACTGGAGGCGGAATTCATCTTCCGCAGACGTAGTTGCAAGTCCTGCCCCGCCGCTACAGCGCCCCGGAGAGCTTACTCGCAGGCTAAGACAGCTTATAAATGGATGATAGTAGCAACCAGTGGCGCCCTTGTACGCTGACGTCTGAACATACTGTTAACATGATGTTAATATAATAATGTAAAAAGGCACTATACAAATGTTTTTCCCTTTTCCACTTCACTTCATTCTTCATTCTTCGGCTTAGATTCAGCTGACAGTCAAGACTGACAACAGTTACCGAGACCTTGATTATTCCAGTTAACCCAAATCTAATAATTGGGCGCGATCCATTCAACCAAAATTTCCAGAAATTTCGGTCCAAAACTCAATGGATCGGTTCGGTCCAACCGGAAAAGTTTCGAAAAAACAGGTCCACCTTTTGAGGTGGTCCTCTTTTCCCGGTCGGACCGGTCTGAATTTTGGTTGAATGGATCGCGCCCATTGTTTAATTATACATTTTTCTGAAGACGATAACGGCAAACAGACTGTTGCAAGAAAAGCAGTTTGACATTGCTCTTGGAGATAATGCAGATAAGTCAGTTATCTCCTAGCAAACAACTAATCTGTAGGTTGCGCTGATTTCCAAAAAAAAACTGTAGGCTGTTGAGAAGACACATAGTGTGCAAAATGTATAATAATTATAATAATAATAATAATAACTCTAACAACAACAATAATTACGATAATTATGTGATTTTGGATGAGCACGATTGATAACAGTTTTTCTGTAATGTTAATTTCCTAGAGAAATTCACTTGCTGTTGTTGCTCGTTGGGCATGTTAATAACAGAATTCGCTAGACCAACAGCAAAATCCACTAGTCCCAGGCTATTGGACACAACTTTCTTTGCACACTGATAAGGAGTGGTGGTCTGGAACATTGAGTGCAGTTTTTGAAGCCCCATAAGTGAATGAACATTATAACATCATTCAAACTTGAATTCAAATGTAAAAGTGCAAGCTTCACAGTAGAGACATGACACTCTTGGCGATTTCAAAAAAGCAAATTTTAAATTTCCTCTTTTAAAATCGCCAAGTCCATCAAGGCCTGAGGAAGCAATGGTCAAAGGGATTTGGATACCAAAGAAATGACATCTTTTAAAAATTACAACATAAAATAGCGTACTAACTAATAGTAATATCATTAGGATACTGATAACAATAATTAATTATGAATAAAACTAAATGATAATAAATATATTCATAAGAATTAATTAATATCCATACTAACACAGTGGAACCCCTATTCAAGGGACACCCTTGAGAAGAAGGCAAGAACCTAAACAGGGTGCAAAGAAAGACAGGTTTACTGCCTGCCATTTGGGCATGCTGTAGCTAGCATGCACTAGCCCACAAGTCCTTTCAACTAGCCCCAAAACCCTTTTTGATTAGCAGGATTGGTTACAATCCTTCTGCAATTTGAATTTCCCCAAAAAAGAGCACTTGCCCATCGGGCAAGTTAAGAACAAAAATCACTAGCCCAATAGCAAAATCCACTAGCCCTGGCAGGCTATCGCACACGACTTTCTTTGCACGCTGCTAAAAGGGGGTCTGCTCTCACAGGCTATGGAATCTCCTGCAGTCATTATCTCAAGCAGCTGGATAATGGATAAAACATCATGATTACCTAGTTATATCTCTGTGACGTTGAGTGTTGAATTCCCACAAATGCAGTACGCTGATTTAAATGAGTTAATTCATGTTTTCAAAACTGTCGCCATTGTGACTAGTGAACACTTAAAAACTTATGGAAAATTTTTGGGGTACATGTAAGTCATTTTTTGATTGCTAAGTTTTCCCCCTAATGGTGGTTAAACCCAGGTTTCAGGACCCAGACAACGTGTCCCTATCCCCTGAATAGAGGGATAGGGAAAAATATTTCAGGGGGTTTTGTTAAGGTTGCAATGGGCAGAACTGTAGACAATTTTGTACATTAAAGAGTTGATTTCATCTTTGAGGCACAGGACGAGGTTAAGGTGAGCAAGCAAATTTATTATGAGAAAATTAGCTGGACAGTGTATACACTTGGATGACAAAAATATACAAGTTACATTGTATGTTTATGTATTAAAATGAAAAGTTTTATATAAACTTTATTAACCAAGAGACCTCTGGCAAATCTACAACTAGAAATCACTATACTTTGTTCAGGTTTCAGAATGGGTTTCATGACTCTCTATGACAATGGCACATTTTAGGCATCTTGTAGGTTGTATATAAATACATTAATTTATTTTTGGAACAAAGACCTAGAAATTAACTTTTTTAACTTTCTATTTGCAATGGCAACCAATCAAAGGTGTGCTCTGCTCTGCTCAAGCAAAACCCACTCTAGAGAGACTGCTTACAGAATGATTACTTTAATAATATCATACTACTACATGAGAAATTTCTGCAATTTGATTGGCTTAGAGCAGTGGCATTTCAGCTTAATTTGAAATACCTACATGTGAAAATTACAAACCTTTTGTGGGTAGTAGTATAAACAAAAAATAGCATGATTTGTGCGTCACATTTGGCATAAATACCACTCGTGATCTAAATTGTCTCAAGTTACACTCGCCTAACGGCTCGTGAAATGACATACAACAATTTCGAAATATCGCTCACGGTATTTATGCCAAAAATCACTGCAAATCATGCTATTACCTGTACAAATTTAACCAACCTCCAAGGTGATCACTGACTGAATTGTCACAGGCTGTTGACTTTTCTTCAGTCTTGCCATTGGTCTCGACATTATTTCCACTGCTATCTGCAGCTGAAAACTAACCACAGAAAAAAAAAACAAAATGTCAAAGGGGCAATTATTGATTTTGATTCAGCTACATGGCACACATATTTTGTTGCGTAAGGTCTCGTCCACACATGTCCAGATATTTTTTAACATGAACTTTTTTTTCTCTGCTTTTAAAATATTATGCCTCCACACCTGGTGTATTCAAATCTTTTTTGCCCTTCCCGACAAATACACTTTAATTTGTACATCCATGCAAATACAATAGCATCCCTTGCAGAGGGTGTGCTGTACAATACATGTATATGATTTTTATTCCTTCTTCTATCCCACCTCATTCTTACCTGGGGGGATTCCCCAATCACAATTCTAAATCTCTGATTATAAACAATTATTGGATGAGGTTTGTGTGATATCCGCAATAATCAAGGTAATGATCGTTTTGACGAAAATAATAACAAACACACCGTCGCAAGGAACCTAAATTAATATTGATATTGGACATCATGCATTGTGTGCGCAACCTACAGATTAGTCAGTTATCTGCTAGCAGATAACTAACTAATCTGTAGGTTGTGCCGATTTCCAAAATTAGCTGTAGACTCTTAGCCAATGAGAAGACAGATGGTGAGTATAATGTATAATAATGTGACATAACGGATCACAGTTTTAGAGCAGCTAAAAAAAATGCTTGCAATTAAATCCTCACCATAACTCTATCACCCATGTTTTGTCCAAACACAAAGGATCCACTTGAGGTTTTTGTTGAGGATCTACAAGAAAAGAGGTTCAATATTGTTATTACAAGGGATGCACATCTAATTTGACTGTATTCATAACATTTCTTCTACAACTTACTCTCTTCCACTTCCTAGAAACTCCGCAAAGTAATTTTTAGAGGAAGCTCCAATTATTCCTTCCTTGTTCTGTCCTGGTGCCAACTCATGTGAGCGCTGTGATGTGTTGGTACATGTGCCCTGCTCGGTAACAGAGGAATCATTGCTGGAGATGCCAAATGTCTGAGGGGAAAAATTCAGAAGGCATCAGAGTGATTCTGTTAGCCTGGTACTTCCTTGACAAGTGTGTTTCTGCTTTGCCTTCACTTTAGCAGGACAACTACTCTTTTGATAAAACAACTGCCTCTTGTCAGTTTGCTTTGATTTACACTTGGTTTCAACCCTCCAAGTCGCCATTTGGCAACCAACTCTTTTTGGTTAAGGGAGACTTTTTTACAAGTCAAGCCGCTAGCTCCAAAATTTTAGGCACCATGGCGACCAAAATGGTCACAACTTGGAAGGTTGGGTTTACATTATAATATCTCTGTACTTGATTATCCGCTTGAGTACTTTGCGTACTTGAGTACATACAGATGACACTGTATCGGCCTTCTTGAAAGACTTTCCCAAGGCTTAGTAGGGAGCAGGAGCATGGAAAAAGCGAGAAACGCGAGAGCTAGAGGCAAGCAAAAAGTGCAAGAGGTGGATGATGGGAACAAGCCTAGAGCACGAGCTCAAATATCCCCCCAAAAAATGATCGTGAGCGACTGGAAATGTTAGTGAAACCAAAAGTCCTGTTTAATCACTAGAGCTTAATGTTTAAATATTCGGATTGTGAAGCAAAAACTCATTAACTTTGTGCCCTTAGCTTGATACAACAGTAGAAAAAAACTTCAATTAACCATACCTTAGGAACTGGAGAAGTTGTAGAGTGTCTATCAACTAAAAAACAAAGAAAATTTTACATGTTTTAGTGTACAGCAACCTCATCCTTAAAGCTATGCATGCCAAGTTGCCAACCAAGAAAACAAATTTAACAAATTAAGATATAAATGTAATAAATTTCTAGCCAGACTTACTTTTTGGGGATGCATTTGCCAAGTTCTTTGCCACATCTGAGAGAAGAGATGGCTTTAAAAAAACCTTCTGAGGCTTATCTTCATCTGAATCTAAAATAAAACAGATTAGTAAACTTCAATTAAAACTGCTACATCCATTTTGAACATGAAAAATACAGATAATACTACACATCAAACAAAACTGGCCTTTAAATCCATTCTATTGACTTTATTATGTTGTCAATATAATGTTTAGTAAGAACTTGTGCTGAACATATAGTACAGTACTCATCAGGATACTGATTTCAAGTCCCTCACTGGGGATGGACCCACTGTCATTACTTAAACAAGATTTAGCCAAGATTAACCTGAGATCAGACTCAATTTTCCATTTTTTATGGGTTCCACTAGCTCCACTGTATTATACATAATTTAATGCCTCTTACTAGGTAAAGAGAAACAGTGGCTATTTTTGTGCTAAGCACATGTTTCCAGTACAGACTGTTGTTATCAGAGACCTGTCTGGTGCATGTAAATGATTGTATGTTTGAGAAAAACAAGAGACTGAGTTGAACTACAGTTATCAAAATCAATCTGTCCAGTGAGAAAAACTGAAACAATAATAATGGCTCAAAGCATTTTAAATGCTCTGTGCTACTCTTTGCTTATGCTTATTGTAAGAAGTTATACATGTTGTGGTTCAATTTTATCCTTGGTTTAAATTTTATTTTCTTTTGTTTTTGGGTATGGTAATGTATGATAATGATTTACAAACAAAAGAAAATAAAAATTAAACCAAGGATAAAATTGAACCACAACATATATAACCATTTAGTCATTTATAATATCTACTGAAATTGTTTTTATTGTTCTAATTTTCTCTGGCAGTGGAAGATACCAATGATGTACGCATGAAGTAAGTACCTGAATGATTATTTTTTTCAAGCTTGGCCACTTTTTTCACTGGAGAAAAACTGTCGCCTAGAAGAGAAGCATAAAAAAGTAGATTAACCATCATCAATGGCTTCCTTCTACCTTCACTGCTAGACTACACATAATAATACAAAAAAAAAAAGAACAAGATCACGTCATAATTTCAACAATAGCTTTCGATAACTTAACAACAAAAAGGCACTGTTGGTGCGAAAGAAAGAAGAATCTTAAACATATTAAGTAAGATTTCCATCCAAATGCTCAGTGTTGTTTCAAACCTTAGAATCACTTTGATAAGGCAAGTAACTTGACCATACCATAGCCAGAAACAGAAATTTGTTTTAACTTAAGTAATTTGAACATTGGCCAATGGCTCTCTTTATATTGAAAATTACTTTTCACTTTCTAAAACATGATATATTATTTAAAGGTAGGGCTTGTAGGCAGGTGATAATAAGTAGCAGTTATTAAAGCATCATGTTCATGTAATATAAAATATAATAACAAGAACTCTTTCTGTCTAGAGAGAGAAGCGTGGATCTCATTGACTTGTTCAGTGTTGCTTTACTCAATGAATCACTTTGAAAATGAAAGTTACATTTATAATATCAGAAACAGAAATTGTTTCAACTAAAATAAGCTTTAAGACAGATTCCATAACGAAATTGAGTAATTTTAACTTTCAGCGGACGAAAACCATGAGAATATGTAAAGCCATTTCAAGGGGTATAAATGTTATAAGTTTTATGAATGACTCCAAAGAAACGATTCTTATGGGAGCCCAACAAAATAAATTTCAAATTTCAGAGGAACTGAGAAAACACAGGTAAAATCATTAGATTAATTCACTCAATTTCCTCATAGATTCCATCTTGACTTTCAGCAATAAAAGCATTGGCCAGTATGGCTCCTTATATTACATTGCTTATTTTCACTTTCTAAATAATGCATGGTACTATAATTTGAAGGTAGGCTTTATTAGCAGTTGATACTAATATTAGTATAGGTAATAGCATGATTTGTAGTGATATTTGGCATAAATACCACAAGTGATATTTCAAAATTGTTATACTAATTTCACGAGCCGTTAGGCAAGTGAAATTTGAGACAATTTTGAAATATCACGAGTGGTATTTATGCCAAATATCACGTACAATTCCTGCTATTATTTGTTTATTCTACTACCCACAAAAGGTTTGTAATTTTCACATGTAGGTATTTCAAATTAAGCTGAAATACCACTGCTCTAAGCCAATCAAATTGCAGAAATTTCTCCTGTAGTAGTATAAACCATTTAATACGCAATCATCCACATACAAATTCTCTAGACTGATCTCCATACATTTACTTACAAAAATTAGTTAAGAGAATTTGATAAAAGATCAAAGCATTTTTCCTTGGGTGATCACTTTCTCAATTCTTATAGCCTTTTCTCTTGATTATGTATTGATAAGGTTAGGAGAAAATAATATTAATGAACGTCACCCTTAGGGCTTGAAAGGTTAACATTAATTTTGATCAGAGCAACACTGTCCATAACAAACAACTCACTCAAAAAAACAGAATTTTTTTTTGTCTACACCGTAAGCAAGATAGATCTCATTAGCTTCTTTATTACAAAGCACAAGACTGGTACAATCAATTAACATACATTTTATACAGGTAAAGTTATCAAAGGTTTTAAAACAAGGCTATTTCTATTTACCAGATTTTTCCAAGAGAAAAAAAATACTAGGAGCAGTCTGCTCCTGCCACTGAGTTATTAAGCTTATTACGCTCATTATCTTCTGACTGTTAACTCAAAGCAAAACATTGAAATATTTTTGTTGTTTTCTGAGGCCACAGATTCAGGAGAAAATCTTTTAAATCTCCAACTGCAAAACTTAAAACAAAACCTTTAAGAGCAAAATTATTATTATTATTATTATTATTATTATTATTATTATTATTATTATCAAAATTTGACGTATCCTGCAAAAAATTTATTGACAATATTTTGCATCCCACAGATAAACACTATAGGGTGTGCTACATACCATCATCTGGTTCAGAATCAACATCTTTGTCCTCCCCTTCAGCAGATCTCTAGATATAAACAGATAATTAGAACCTTTGTTAGGTGTTTAATCATATTTATTTTGAACATCAGTACCAGGGCTAAAAAAAATAACTTGAATTCCAGCACATCCTTTGGGCAAGCAGCTCGCACACTTTGCTTGCATGGGGCAACTTAAATCATAATTTGAACATCAGTACAAGTGCTAAAAAGATAACTTGAATTCCAGCACTTCCTTCGGGCAAGCAGCTCTCACAATGCTGCACTTGCCTGGGGCAAGTACTTGCTTAGAACTCTTAGTTAGAACTGTTAGTTAATGATTTAGCTGGAGGATGAATTGCCTGGACCCATTTCCATTGGGCAAGTTACTCTTTTTAGATGTCAGAATGGACTTGTTTCGAGCCCTGATATTTGTATGCATTATAGTTTAAAATATAATTCAGCCTCGCCTTTTTTCACACACGACTCAGAATGACTCAGAGCTCAGATTCAAAAGTTATTTGATAGTCTTAGGAAGATAGATTCCTTCAGTAGCCTTGGAATACCATGCAACAATTTAATTATGCACCTGTGATTCGGCTGAATTTTTGACTTGAAACACAAGAATAATCAATAAAAGATCTGCTATTAAACCCACTTCCACAAAACACATATCTTACACTTCTGCTTGCACCTGAAAAGTTTTCCTAGCCCATGCATTGTTATGTTAAAATAAATGTTACGGCTTCCTCGCCAAAACAGTCATTTAGCTGTCGCAAAAATAGACCCTGCCAACGTTTTTTTTTTTTTTAAATTTCGATAACGACCATTTAGTGACTTTCTATTAACACAACTGAAAAGAGAACATGTATCTTATTTTTTGTTTAAACTATATAATAATGGGGCAGGGGGTGGGGAGGTTGAGGGAGGCACAACTTGTCCCAACATACAAACATCTGCAGAATTACCACACCGAATCGCATGAATCCATAACTATCCTGGCAAAAGGACCTTGGGAAAGTAAAGGAAGTCAACTTTCATTCTGGCTAGAGAGGGTGGCATTCAGGCACGCAACCACTGAAAGGAATTGTATCAATCAACTCAATCGCTAAGATGTGGAGTCAAAACAAAACTCTTGAGGAACTAATATCATCACTTTCCTGCAACTAGACCTGAGCCAGCCAAGAGATCTGCCATATTAACCGGTATATCATTTCATTTTCTTGAGACTCTCATGTTACCTTAGGGTTAGCTACATAATTCCAGAATTGTTTTGGAATTTTAGACATCAAAAAGAATTTTAGAAAATCTCGGGAATTTTAGGGAAAAAATAGACAAATTCGAGAATTTTAGAGCAATTTGAACATTCACCTGACATTTTGGCAATATTCATGGCAAAAACATTGACAAAAAGTCTTTTGTTGTATTCCTATCAACCAAGAGAGGGCTCAGTCCGCTTAAATGCTACAGCAGTGTCTAGAGCACTGTCCACTGAGCACAACAAATCAGTGGCTTCTCATCAGAGTTGTCTACACTACAACTTATCAGTGGTCATTCACCAAAAGGGGCCCTCACTATCAAAAAAGAAAACAATTTTTTTTTGAGAATTTTTGGGAATTTTAGAGTTTTTGGAGAATTTTAGACATTTCTAAAAGAATTTTAGAGCTTTTTTCGGAAAATTCTGGAAAGAATTTTAGGCCATATTTTGGGAATTATGTAGCCAAGCATACATTACCTTGACTGAAACTCCAAGAGGTGTTGATTCTTCACTTGAAACCTCTGGCTCCTCTCCATTATCTTTGGAATAAGCATTCTAAAACAAGATGTGACATAAGAAAGGAAATTAGAAAAAAACTGCATAAATACTTGAAAGTATACAGAGAAGATTTGAGATACGTGATGTTGAGCACTTCGTATGGCAGCCTTCCTGTAAAAAACTGAGGTAAAATTTCCGCACAATAATTATTTGTACATATATTATTTATATAATGAAGTACTCTGGGCTTTATTATTTCTTATAAACCAACTGGAGAACAGATAATTATAGCTTATGAGACAGAAAAAGGATGCATAATAAAGAGCAAGAAGACGTGTGGCCATGGCACAAAAGTTGAACCTACAAAAGTGAAAATGTCTAAACATGTAAGTTGATTTTCTGCTTCCTTTTCTTCGTTCACTTAATTAGCGTACTTGAGCTTAAGGTCATATATACTGTAAAATGAAATGGCTACATAAATTCTTGAATACAACATCGATCACTGATAGTCTTTTTATTATTATTACTTTCTTTCAAATGAATCCAACTGCTTGACAAAACAAAAACTACGAAATATAAGATTCTGTTTACCGTAACTTTCCCGGACGTATCTTGACGTAAAGTGAATTTCGGCGGAGCAAGAATTCTCACGGAGTTATTTGTTCCTGGACGAGAAGAAGATGGAAAACTAGAATTAATATACACCTCTCTAAAAAAGCAGATAAAACAACGCCGAAGAATATAAATCATGAGCCGCAGACGTGGAATTATCTGGCAAACTGACAATTGGAACGGTTAATAGCGTACATATTCGAACGGATTTACGTTTGTGTTTTAAAACTTCGAGTGGTTTTTCTTCGTTTACCTGAAGAATCTTCATTGTCAGCAGCATGAGATGGAGACGCTGGAAACAAAACAACACAATTAAGTTTTCTTGTTATGCTAGCAAAAAGAACGTCAAACAAATCAGAAGTTAAAAATACCCAACTTTAAACCTCACCATTTTCCGCCATTTTCACGGAGTCGGCGGCTTGCACGCATGCGCTTAGAAATTGACCCAGGCCTCCCTCTCTCAGAATGACGTATGATGGTGAACAGACAAAAAAAGAGAAAATAAGGAAATGTCTGTTTTGTTTATTTTTAGAACCTATTTGTGCTACGTCACGTAATTATATCAAAATAACTTCTTACAATTGCACTGCGGTAACCTAAAATCAGGCTCTATTTTCTTTAAGCGCACGCTTGGCAAAAATAAAATTCTGGTAAGCAGTCAAGCGTGATTTACATGATGATTTTAAAGGGGCAATGTCACGCTAAGGTAAAAACAGTTTTTACTGCACAGTGAACATTTTAATCACATTTAATTGTAGAAATGTCAAGTGAAAATTAAAAGATACTTCTAGATAAATCAGAACGTTACGTAACAAAACATAGCCTAAATAGAACATGCGTTTTACTGTTTTGAGAAGAAAAGCTGCTTCAAGTTAGCCTGTGACAATCAACATCATCCTCCACTAGTAAACTATACGGATCATTTGCGGTACTGTACAATACTCCTTCAACACGTCAATAGGAAATCCAAAATTCAATGTTTCGGACGCCAGTAGACGGCTTTTTTTCCCGACTTTTTAAGGGCTCAAAACATGGTTCGAGTTATCGGGGGTACAATTATATAGAAAATGACCTGAGGGGAAACGAAAATTAGTTCGAGTTTTTGAGGGTTCGAGTTACCGAGGGTAAAATTACAGCGAATGTATAACGGAAATCCAGGGGAAATCGATTTTGGTTCGAGTTAGCGCGAGGTTCGAGTTAGCGAGGGTTCGAGTTATCGGGAGTCGACTGTATTTGAAACGTTAAAATGAGTCTTCGCATCAATTGAACTCCAGAAATAATGGTCTAACTTTGTTCTTTAAAGGAGCTGTCACAAAATTCAGACAAGTTAGGTAGTTACAAAATGCCCGTTAAGTTCTGAGAGAAACATAAAAATAACCGCTTAAAACATTAAAGGAAGGTTAAAATAACACAACAGAAACAACAGATGGCACGGATGGTCAAAACTGAAGAAGACTGAAACGGATTGAAATTAGGGTTTTTGAAAACTGTTCAGCCTAACAGTTTTTCAGAGTTGATTCCTGCTGCTTGCAACTCCAAAAATAATGCTCAGGAGACATATTTGTTTGTTTTGGATCTCTGATTTTGTCATTTACATGTACTAATTTCTTTGCTCACTTTAAGTTCCATTGCGATTGAGGGCGAGTAATTGGCAAAATTAAACAAAATGAACTGGACTGCCGTGACACAGCTCCTTTAAGACAATATTTAGGCTCTGAAGTGTTTCCTGTCGTCTGCTGCTGCGGATGACAAGGATAGACCTGAACTGAAATTTGCGCCAACTTTTAATGGCGCATGCCTGCAAAAATCTCTCAAGACCTGGTAAAGGATTTTTTGGTTTAGTGCTCCCTGATGAAATGTGTGATATCTTCTTCATAACTCTACAAGAGCAGCCTCGTACCCAGGCCAGTTCGCGCTATCCGAGTTTCGCGACAAGCTTGACAGGTTACGTCACATCCGAAATCGCCGAAGACGATTGGGAACGAGGCTGCTACAGGAGTATTTTATGTTACAGGCACTCTGAGTAACGACTAAAACAGCATGTGCAGCTCCATCAGTCATGAAAACTCTTTGAGTCACCGGTGTAGCTAAGGGAGTCCCACAGATTCGGTCAACAGATACTTTGAAGTTCGCAGTTTGAGAAAATGAACAAAGCCAGGGTTTGAATTAGTCACTTATACCCCTCATTGCAGTGGGGAAACAAAATGAGTGCTCACGACTCCATGTGTGACTCATTTAGGGGTAAATACAGACCGCGGTTATACCTGGTCATTTAAACATTTACGGCGACATTGTTTTCAATCATGGTTCCCTAATTACGATTTACTTTCCAATGCAAAAAAGGCAAACTTGTGTTACGAGAGGCTGGTGTCAGGTTCGAAAGTACTCGGTTTTTGAACGAAAACGAAGCAAAGTGAACCGAGCCAGCCTGGTAAACGGCTACTCTGACCAGGCCTGATCATTGCAGAACGCAAATCTTATGTGAGCGCTACCCCCCAACCCCTGGAGCGTTTTCTGTTTGGAAATTTATATAAACTTCTTATCTTGTTACTACACGGGACGCAGTCGGGATATCTACATGCAGGGGCAAAACCCGAGTCATCTGTTAAAGCCGATATAAATCGGTACTCAATTGAGACTTCTATTCGTTCTCGTTTAGCTTTACGGCTGCTCGTATTCCTTTGCAAATCAATTACCCTCGTGTGATTTTTTTCTGAAGACTGTGTCAGAGAAAGTCCGTCTTTTTCTTCGTGTGTTATCTATGAGCTGATGGATATGAAAAGAACAAGTGCGCCAGCCAAATTATGCGTGGGATGTCAAATGGAAATCAACTTGTAAACCTTACCTCACCTTATAAAATAGGCCTTAGCCGAGTCATTCGACTTGAGCCTGATCAGTAATCCACACGACGGTCTAGGCCAGCTCGACGCAGGGGTGCCAACTCAAGCAGCCCGCCTGCAGAGATTTGCTAAATAAGCCAAAAAATACCGATCGTGAAAGTGAACTGAACCACATGCCTGAAAGCCAGAATAAGCTTTACCTCACCTAAAATGTTCAGGTGTTGTCGTCCTACGACAAGCCAAACGGCGAACTATTCGGCCTCAGGCTGGCCACTTACGTGAGTTCTCTTTTACAACTGGAGGATTATATATAGTTACACACTGTACTCTAGTCAATAAAAAAGCTTTATTTAGCTCCTGATAAACCGCCTTGGGGAACTTAGTTGGTCACTTTCGAGATATATCTGACAATTGCTGATGTAATGAGCGGCGAAAAGCTTAATTTAGGCAATGTTCTGAGTCCTCCTTTCAGGTAGAATTTATTCTCAGTAAGTCAATTTTTCAATTGAATTTTAGTAATAAATTTTGTCACGTCATATTGATATGAGGCAATCACAGCAGAGCCGTTCGATATGTATTCGTCACAGCAGGTTTTTAGTTGTTTTTTTCTTTATGCAAGTTTTTGTTCATTGTATTTCTCCACCAATCACATTATATTTTTATTTTTGCCTTATTTAAAATACTGTAACCGTTTATTCTATTCTCACTTAGCTTGTCTAGCCCCTGATGGAGACTTACGTTTTGTCTAGTCGAAAAAATTGGGCAAATAAATTTGTAACCCTTAGCTGTCTGATCAGCCTTTCAATTTTAAGCTTTATTTTTAGTACCGTTAATTAAAACCAGGAGACTTGACATTTCATTAGTCTGGCTTGTAAAATTTAAGGAAAAACGTTTCAAAATCATGAATTCCAGACTTAATGAAATCGTGACGTCCGAAATCCCACATTAATTTGGGCTACAGTCGTTCTGGCTAAACAAACACTAGAAACAAGCTTATCAGAGGCTCAAGCCTCGCAAAACGAAAAATATCAATTTTGACCTTGGATAATTGAAAATTTCAAATGACCTTTTTGAGGAACAATGAAATTAATGCCACTAGCGACTTCCTTATTCGCAGCGGAAGAAGATTTTTTCAGTTTCGAGTGAAAAATAATTTTTTGCTTTTGTTTTTTGTTTTTGACTGGATCATGGAATATTGGACATGAATTGGATAAACAAAATTTTTACATTCGGGGGATACATTAATGGAATCATAAACACCTCTGTACTCTTCACCTTCGAATCTAGCTAACACAACACGTCGGCTCAATCAAAAGAATTTACATTTTATCTTAATAGGCCTAATTTAAAAATACCATAATATTGTTAGTTTTTCCTCCAAAATTTTGCATAAGCATTGTTTCCAATTTATCTTGAGCCTTGCAATCGTCCCAAGAAAAATCGCCAAAAATGAAAAAATTTTGGAGGGAAAACAAAGATCGATTATATATCATGACCTATAATGTTATTTTTAAGTTAAGCTTATATATTACCCTAGCTAATTACCCTAATACGTCCTAATATTGATACAACCTTGATGCTTGCGGCCAATTATTCAAATTATTTGCGCTATTAAAGGAGCACGACGCAATGTGCTGTCTGCGTTTTTTGGAACTGAAATAACTCCAGTGCTTTATATTTATATGTCTGGTTCTTTATATTACGGGTTATACTGAAAATGTTTATCAGAAGAAAAAAAAGAAAGAGTTAAGAAAAAATGGCTTGCATGTTTCTTCCATTTTGACAGAGAATTTCGTAAGATAAGGTCCAGGCAAGAGGTCAGCGTTAGCGATGAAATTACATCGCCTGAAGGGAAGAGTGTAGTGTCGTCAATTTGGGTTCTTTGAGACCAATATAACTGAGTTGTTATAATCATTTTTCTTCCGAAAAAGGTGATGTATATATTCGGAATATAAGATGCCTGAACATTCGAGACTCTTCAGGCAGCAAGCGTGCACTGATTTGAACTGACCCTTTGACCGGTTTTTCAATTTTCAACTTGCCGTCGGCACCACTACCGAAGAGCAAGATGCGAGCCTAGCTTAGAGTCGTCTAGAGTAGCTTTGCAAATTCGAGAAATTCAAAGACGTTTGTTAGGAGGCAAAAGTTGCCTCCTCTCTCCCCCTGTATTTAAAACATGCACTCATTCCTCCTATCATTCTCAACTGGATTCGGCATCCTGCGAGTGTAACCTCTCTAAGGGTTTGTAAGGGCAGGGGATAGAGGAAATACGATTTTTCCGGCCCCGACCACAGAGAGAACTAGAGAGCTTGCTGGCAGCCTATATTCTGCTAACGACTTTGTATTTGCCAATTAAAAGAATGACTATTTAATTTGCATATAATTAAAGACATTCTTTTGTTAACTTAAATTTCAATGCCCTTTGTCAGATAAGTAAATACCCGAGCTGAGAGGCCCTCAAGAAAACCGTGTGACAGTTACTTTGTTCTAATCAAGTTACAAAGTCGCTGCCAAGCACTAAAGATTAAACAAAAATGGCTCCCCAAATTGTGCTCATCTCTGGTTGTTCCAGCGGCATTGGACTCGCCACCGCTGTGCTTCTCGCTAAAGATGCCGAGAAACGCTTCAAGGTTTACGCCACCATGAGAAATATGGCGAAGAAAGGACAACTGGAGGAAGAGGGACAGGAACAACTTGGAGACACTTTGATTGTCAAACAGATGGACGTGTGCAGTGATGAATCAGTCAACCAAACCATCAAAGAACTACTCGATATAGAAGGAAGAATTGATGTGTTGTGTAGGTGTATTTTAATAATTTTATTATCTGTGTTTGTGTTTAATGCCCTTTGGGACGGATATACTCATATTTTAGAAGTTCAGTCTTATTCATTTTAAATCTCTTCTCTCAAACTTTCGTGAGCCTTGTTACTAGTTGTGGATTATACTGAAACATTCTATTCGACTGCGGTTTGCTAATTTTTTTCTTAACTGGCCGGGTATATTTTTGTAGACACGGTGGCTAATAAATGCGGTTAAGTTTCATCATGTTTATATCAAGGTCAAGGGAAAAAAAAATTAAAATTAATGTTAACAGCATACTGCCAGCGCTTTTCGGAGATGGGGGAAGCCAACTCAAACATGGGCACAGCAGAAACGAAAAAAATGAAAGATGAACAAAAGAAATGGTGGGAATTTTTAAGGAAGATATTTCATGATCATGGTTCAGGACGAATCGCTAAGTTACACACATTGGTTTTCCGTACTTGCCCGTTGTGTCGGCTTTTGATGTTTCAGTTTAATCCAATATTGTATGTCTCAGTACGTTTCGAAACCAAAATTAGTTCACACTTAAAAGTGATAAACATCTTAGCCTATTCACAGATTCTCTATCTTCTCTTTAGAGATCGTCGTGCTTGCGTATCACTATGAAAATAACTTGAAACTACAGGGAATTGTTGACCGCTTTTTCTTTCGCGTGCACCGCCCCCGTTCAAGCGCTCACTTGGCTCGCGTGCTCGTCGATTTTCGACAACGTCTGTGTACAGGCTAAAAACATCTCGACTCCACGGGTGGAACCCCGGTACATAGAAGGGACACTATGGGGGGGGGGGGGGTGGGGGGTGGGGGGGGAAGAAGCCAAGGACCCCTAAAAATTATTAATTCACTGGCCTTAAAAATTTATTTAATGAGGAAAATGTTAATTTAAAAATTTATACTTTGCGAATTTTTTTTTTTTACCTGGGCCCCTTAACGCGGTGGTTGTCATCCCTTTTTCTTTGTCGGCGCCCCCCCCCCCCCGCGCCCGCTCTGGGCTCGTGGTGGCTGTTGTTTTTGGGAAGGGGTGGTGAAAGAGAAAAAACGACTCGGCGCCCGGGGGGGGGCCCCGGGGAAAAGGGGGGGAAATTGGGGGGGGGGGGGGTTGGGGGTTGGGGGGGAACACGCCAAGGAACCCTAAAAATTATTCATTCACTGGCCTTAAAAATGTATATAATGAGGAAAATGTTAATGTAAAAATTCATGCTGTTCGAAATTTTTTTTGTTACCGGGGCCCTATAAGCAGTGATTTTAACGGCACATGTTCGATACCGGGGATGGGAAAGGACTGAAGTTTAGGATAGTGTTTGAAACGCAGGCTATCACCCTACGGCGATACCTACGCCATCCAAGAACGCAGATACACAGGAAATGCAGTAAAGCAAGGCTTGAACTTCTTAATGCTGACCTGTTTTCTGCAGTAATAAACGTCCATTTACATAATCCAAACATGATGACCCGTTTTTTCCACAGTCAACAACGCTGGGTTCGGGTTGTGGTCCGTGGTAGAATGCACGCCCATTGAAATGGCCAAGGAGATGTTCGATGTCAACTACTTTGGTACCCTGCGACTTATCCAAGCCGTGTTGCCTAGCATGAAAGTAAGAAAGAGCGGTTGTATTATTAACAACAGCAGCATCCTAGGAATTGTGGCTCCTCCATTCAATGCTATTTACAGTTCAACAAAGTTTGCCATTGAAGGCCTCACAGAAGCAATAGCTCCGACTCTACGCCATTTCAATATAAGGTAAGCCAGACGAAGAGGTTCATTTGCAGTTGTACAATTGCGATTTCCGGGGGAGGGGGGTACTCCCTAGTGGCCTAAACTGTGCCACGGAAAAGGGTATACGGTTTTCAGGGTACCTTGAGCAAATTAAACCCAGCAGGCTGTTTAGTCCATTTTGGGGGCAGATTCTCAATCGAACGCTGTAGCGTTGGCACCAGAGCTCCAGTTTCACTTAAATAATTAAGTGTGTGGGAGATGGCCGATTTTGAGAGAGCTATGGCTCCTTTTCCTAGAGTATGAGGTGAGAAGGAGTGCGTCGATTTCATCATGCCATCTTGCGTAACGAAAAATAATTGTCACATTTTGATCGATCTTTACCACGAGCTGGTATAACTTTAGTGTTTATTTTAGGAAACATGGTTTGTCTTTGATTTTATATTTTACATAATTTTTCATAAATTGTCTGCGAGAAGCGTAACCCTTGTTTTCTAATCTGTTGATTGCCTCGAGCGTAAACCAATGTCAGTAGTGCGCCAGTCCGTGCTTTCTCGCCATCAGATTCAGGAAGACCGGCCATATTTTCCTCTTGATCTTGCCTTTTTTTTTTTTTTTAAAACTTCATCCTCGAGGGCAAACTTTAAAATTAGCGATGCTCATTATTTAAAGAAATCGAAACTCGACGTTTTTTAAAGCTTTACTTTCCCGTTATCAAACAGGTGCTCAATAATCGAACCAGGTCCGGTGGGGACCTCAGCACTCGAAAATTCTAGAAACTGGGCAAGTAACTTCGAAATGTCAGAACCCGACAATGAGACCCAGGAACTGTTTGGCACGTTTGCACAGCGGATGTCCCATCACTTCAGAAGCACGATGCAAACTTCAGACGAGATTGCGGAAGTTGTGAAAAGCGTTATACTCAATGAAAAACCCAACCTACGATATCAAACAAATTTGAATGGCGTATGGCGAGACGTCAAACAAAAACTTACCGATCCAACTGGAAATGAATTGATGGACATGGTCAAGAAGGCATTCTTTGACGCAGAATAATTCTTAGTATTTTAACTTGTAGCGTCCGTAGCCCTTTTCTTCCTAAACTATATATGAATAACATTATTGCGAGATAAGTAAAATAAGATGTACTAAAGGCTGTAATCAGCCGTTAACGCCGGGATAACACGAAGTTTTAGTCTTTTTTCTCAGCTTCTTCCCTCCATTAGTTCTCATTATAACTTTTTAAGGTCACCGAAATCGTAGAATGTTACCAAATAGACCTTTTTACCCATACGTCGGCCATATTAAATTAATTCGATTTAAGGAGTATTATAGGATGTCCAGGGGGCATCAGCACATTTCGTTTGTATTTTCGAACGCTTTTTGGGACATTTTTTCTTAAAGATTTCTTAGAATAAGATTCTAATGGGCAAAAAAAATCCTTGTGCCGTGTTCAGGATGTAATAGTGATCGCCTTTTTCCCGAGAAATATACAGTTGACCATATTTCTAATACTAAACTAGAAAAAGGCGATCATTATTACATCCAAACACGGCAGAAGGATCTTTTTTCCCATTAAAATCTCACCGTTCATTTGACCAGACAAGTAGCTTTCTTTCCATTTTTCTGCTCAAATTCTCGATACAGGTCCCGGTTGTTCAAACGTTGGGTAGCGCTATCCACCGGATAAATCGCTATCCAGAGGATAAGGAGTACGAAAGCCAATTACGCTATCCTTTGGATAGTAATTTATCCAGTGGATAGCCTTATCCATATTTCGAACAACTGCCCCCCCCCCCTCCCCCCGCCTAGGCGATTTACTGAGGGGAGGGAGCGTCTTAGTTTAAACGAAAGTTTAAACATGTTTAAAGTATGTCGCAACGGTCCGGTTCAGTAATCTTATCTTTTCAGCTTATGTTGTAGAGAAAATTTCAGAAATGTCACGTTTGGAGCGTGACAAGCAAATGACGCATTTTGACACACGCTACGTACAGTTTGTGTGATGTTTCCGCTTAATTTCAAGGACCGGGTTTATACGAATACAGTATCGATCAGTCAGTCCCAGGTGGAGAGGAGGGGGAGTACTCCCGATTTCAAGTGACCTGACGGAGATTATCAAAGAATTTGTTTTGGGTTTGATTCCAGGATTTTTTTGGATAGGAAAATTAATTTGGAAAGGATTTGTTTGGGGTAGCTTGATTTTAGTAAGGATTTTTTTGCGTATGGGTGTTCAAACCAATTTGAAGATTCAGATAGTATGACGAATAAACAAACACAAACATTCAATTTCTAATGTTCTTATTTTTCGTGTTATATCTTTTAATGCCTTCCGCAAATTGGGGGTTAATTTTTGGTCCAGTAAATTTTGGGGTTTTGTTGAAAGCTCTAGGGAGTTTTTTGATATACATGTTTTTCGATTCTGTTATTTACGACATTTACAGTTACCGTATTTAATGAAATAAGCGCTCAACCCCGAATTAGCACCCACCTCGAATATGCACTAATATGAGACTTCCCCGAAGACGGAGTCATCTGCAGAGTAACCTTGTTTGTTACATCTTCGCGTTTGGTTATTACCATTTACTGTTTTGTTGCAAAATAAACATACCGCACTTGCTGAAAATTGTAAAAATGTAATAAGCGTTCAGGGCGGTTAATTGAATAAATACGGTACTTTCAGCTAGCGAACTAATCATTTTGTGTTGAATTCAATCAGATTCATTCTGTAACATTTCCCCAAGCCGGTACCGAACAAAGTGTTATACGGGTAGGCTCCGCCCCGAGGTCCAACTCCTTACCCTTTGTATAGTTTTCATGGACGACAAATGGCATCAATTTCACATACCCACAAAAGTACACTGAGTCACGTTTAACAGCTGAGACGATTAAATGACTCAAACAGGAAGTTTTTCTTGATATTTTAACTTGCAACCAATCCTTCTCCCTGAACATTGGCTTCAGAGTAGGGAGACCCCGGGGAGGGGCTCTGCATAAGAAAGGGGTGGGGATGCTCGTCGAAAATTTTGAATTAAAACCCTAAAGGAGACCGATCTGGGCGTGGCCCGAGGTTTTTTTTTATCCCTACATCATCCCCACAACTCTCATATGCGGAGTCTCCATCCCCCCCCCCCCCCCCCGGAGGGAGACGGATGGACTGACAGATTAAACCGGTAAACGTAATAATAATAATAATAAAATATTTATATAGCGCTTATACTTTTCAGTTCTAAGCGCTTTACATTACTTCAAAAAGGTCTGAATAAAAAATAAAAATCCTAAAATCATTACATATATACATATATACATAGTCACAAAAATACAAAATAAAAAACCTGAGATAGTTCGTAAACTCGTTTAAAAAGGAAGGTCTTCAATTTAGATTAAAACTTATTTACATCATCGATCGATCTGTGAGCATACTACGGCAGCGAAAGCATCAGAAATAATACCCATTATAGCAGTCACGTTTTTACCATAAGTAGATGATTCAGTTGCACAGCAGTGCGGACATTACTGTATTTTAGGCCAACACCAGCTAGATAATCTTACCAGCGTAGATATTGACGTTAAAAAGACTCGTGTCCAGTTCATGTTGGCAATGTTGAAAAAAAAAATCCTTGCTTTTTTCTTTTGCTATGTTTTTTTTTTCAAAAGTAATATCCAAGAGACTGTAGGAATATTTATTTCGTACTAGGCAGGATACCCAACGGATCCGCTCCTCAGGCTAAGAATTTGCTGGCTGGTACTATAAATAAAGGATGAGAAACTCTTGCTGGGAATTTTGCCGAAACGCTTTTCTGGCTGTGGTTTTTCATTTTGAATGCCGATGCTGGCTGGAAAAAAACTAGGTAATCCTGCTTAACTGGAAGCATAACACCTTCAGCCGAGCATAGTTTGGAGCATAATTACTAACCCCTCATCTCTGGTCTCATGGGTAAGCCCCAAAAAGCATGATACTCCATTCTTTTTAGCATGATCAGTCAAACACATGTGAAATACCTCTGAAGTTGATTGTTAAAAGTAAAATAAATTCCTTGAAACTATTTTGGATGTAGGTAAGGTGGTACTTCCTTAGACGCAGTGTATGCTTGTTCATAATGGTTGTTGAGACATCGATTGTTTCACGTTGGAATTTCATTTTACCATTGTTTCCCCACAAGGGAAACCATACGGCGAAGATCTCACCAAAAATGGTCCATCCCTTTCAATATCTTCTTTCAGTTTTTCCATCTACGCCTTTTTTGTATTCAGTTGGCTCTGTTATGTATTCCTTAACTTCTTCGAGTGGTATATTCATGTTTCACCCACTTCGGGACCGTTCATTTGTTATCGGGGGGGGGGCGGGGGCGCGCGGGGGGTGTTCAGGTGTCCTACTACGACTAAGTTCGTCTCACTGGGTGGTGTGTCGCCACC